ACCCTCGATCCCGGCCGCGGTCTCGGTCGCTCGAATAACCCGACATGGCGTCAATGATTGCGGTTGGTGGGGAACGAAGAAGAAAGAGTCGGGTGCGACGAGTCGCTGGAAGTGGCCTCGGCGAGGGCTAAGCCTTGCGGGGGCGGCAGCGGAGGAGGGAGGGCGATGACAAGAGCCGTAGCTGCGCGACCAAAGACCGGTGGAAATGAATGAGGTGCCGGCCGCGTTTCGGCAGCCGGTTTTATAGTCTGGACCGCCTCCTCCGCCGCAAAGAACGCTGGGAGCCACTCTATGACCTAATCACACCCCCCTCCCCGCGAGGAGGCCGCAGGGCCGGCCGAAGTTCCGGAATCCGCCGAGTTCTCGCCCCTCCCCCGCTCGGCCGCTCCCTCAGAGTCACCCGTTTTTCCTCCCCTTTCAAGTATGGACCCACACGCTACTGTAATGCCGCTTCCCGCAATGCCTGGACTTCACCTTTTTGTCTTCTTTCCACACCTCAAGGAAGCCACCCCGCCCTTTCCGGGTCCAAACAGACGCTAAAACAGCACAGGCCAACCCCCTCTCGCCACTTGGGGATGTTTACGTCTCCAAACAGCGATCACGCCCCAAACCAAATAAGACGGGAAGGCGGAGTCTGGCGTTGTCACGTGACCGAACCCCCGCCCACTGGGGGAAGAAAGCCGCACTACTTCTCTGGTTGGAGTCGGCGGAGGAATACATAACGAAATAGCTCACCGGAAGTGCAGTTCTAATGCCCACTGGGAGGGAGACCGGCCAGGCCTGGCCTAGCCGACCCACTGACCTTAGAATTCTTTAGTGGGTTGTTAGCGGGTTGTTTTCCGCAGAGAGTGGTACCTGGAGCCCACAAACCGCCGCCTTGGCGCGAGCGGTAAAGAGGAAGTTTCTCACTGATCACCAATCAGCGACGAGAAGCCGTTTTAACGCCCCGCCCTCTCTCGCTCTCTAGTCTCGACGCGTTGATTTGTACTCCCTCCTCCCGGCGCTGAGTGTGCGCGGAGGGTCCCTTCTCGGCCGCCGTCGCCCGCGCGTCTGCCCGGGAGTCTGGCGGCGACCTGCCTCCGCGATATGGCCTGCTCAGAAGCAGGTGAGTCTCAGCCTGGAGTCCTGGGGTGTGTGAACTGAAGCGGTCTAAGTCCCAAAAGGCCTCGGCCCCGCCTGGACTGTGTCTGGGCTGCTGGCAGGGCTCGGAACAGTCGAACAGCCAGTGGCAGTCACGGGGGCTCTGCATAGGGTTTCAGTCTCTCTGTCTTTTCAAGGCGGTCGAGCAGCGATACGCGGTGAGAGAGAGAGGGATCCTGTGTCGAGACCGGTAGGACACCGTGTCTTGGCTGCAAAAAGAGCTGTCAGAAGGTTCTTCCCCGGACTCGTATTTCTCTAGGATATTGGTCCCTGTGCATGTGCTCTCCGCTCTTGGGTTAAGAGGACTGAGGTCACACCTAGGACCTCTTCGTATTGGTGTTTAGAGGGATACTTAAGATCTGTTGATGCTCCTGTCATAGCGGACTAGTGGTGCTTTTTTTCTCTTTACTGCCCTCTAGAGTTACCGGCTTTGTCTAGCACTGCTTAGATTTTGGTTGTCTAGGACGCTTTTATCCTTTTATCCAGGATCTCTTACAAACCAGTTGTCATGGTTTGGTCAGCTGTGAGAGATGAGCATGGGAGGAGGGAGATAATGTGGATCAAAAACACACCTATTTGTTTCCAGAACATACTGGAGATAACTTCTAATACTGAATAGTGCTTTTCCTCTTAATCACAAGTCATTTCAAGGAACTCATGTTTCAAGCTTTCTAAATTACCTTTGGTCGGCTGGTCGCGGTGGCTCACGCCTGTAATCCTAGCACTCTGGAGGCCAAAGTGGGTGGATCATCTGAGCTCAGGAGTTTAAGACCAACCTGACCAAGAAAGAGACCTCTGTCTTCATTAAAGATAAAAAAAACTAGCTGGGCGTTGTGGCGGGTGCTCATAGTCCCAGCTACGCAGGAGGCTGAGGCAAAAGGATCTGTTGAACCCGAAAGGTTGGGGTTGTTGTGAGCTATAACGCCACGGCACTCTACCCAGGGGGACAGAGTGTGGCTCTGTCTTTACTAAAAATAGAAAAATTAGCTGGGCGTGTAGTGCAGGCATAGGCCTGTAGTCCCAGCTACTTGGGAGGCTGAGGCAAGAGGATTGCTTGCGCCCAACAGTTTGAGGTTGCCGTGAGCTATGACACCACTGCACTCTACCCAGGACGACAGAGTGTGAGGCTCTGTCTCAAAAAAAAAAAAAATTACATTTGGTCGAAGAATCCCTTAAACTTTGTTAATCTCAGCAGTGTCTATGGGAGGGAAGACTGGTTACACAGGAAACTTGGTGATGTGCTAAATCTGAGCTTAATATTCCTATATTTTATCACATATACATCAAGTATAATAAAAGACAAAAACTAAAAAATGCATTTGTGTTGATGTTGTCATTATTCCAGTACTTAACAGCTTAAGTTAATCACCACTTACTTGGGCTCCAGAGAAATTCTGACTTGGACAAAATAATTGGGGTTGAAACATGATGAATGCTATTGGGAATTTGAAGCAACATCCATTAATTAGTTTCTAGTAACCTTTCATTATCATTAACAAAGTCTATTGTTTATGATATATTCCCATCTGCTTACAACTGTTTTAACTAAAAACACCTATAAAAGCCTTATAAAGTAAAAAATTGCAAATGACTTAAGATTTTAGGCAACAGTAGATATTGGATTTGCATTTTCGTTTTTACTACATTGAAATGATCACCCTCTGGAAATCATCCCAAGAAATTAGATACATCTTTTTAAAAATCATGCCTAGGAGGGTCTTTGAAATTCTATTAAAAAATTCCTTATCTTCTTTAAAGTTCAGTATCTGTTTTTGTGAAGGTTGTAGTTTTTCTAAATATGTATATGACTTTTTCTAGTCCTATTTAAGACTGAGCTTTCCCCTTTCTTTCCCAACAGAATGGATAACCATTGCTAATAACCTTCTTTTTAAATGTCACATACACCTGAGGATACATGAACTTGAAGACTGTGATGCTAATGTTTTTATTGCTCTTTACCAATCCATTTTGGGAGAAAAGGTACCAGGTAAGGGTACTAAAAGAATAATTGTGTCTAGTGCATTTATTAATTAATGATAAAGTTAATATTGCATTTATTACTTCAATGAACTCTTTATGGAATCTATTCATTAATAACAACCTTGAATGAATCAATTTTTTTTTTTTCTCACTGTGTTGTCCTTGGTAGAGTACTGTGGCATCACAGCTCACAGCCCTCAAACTCTTGGGCTTACACAATTCTCTTGCCTCAGCCTCCCAAGTAGCTGGGATGACAGGTGCTGATGATTAATTTAACTATGCTAGTGCCTCATCAAAGTCATACTTTTTCTATAAATACACCTTCACATGTTCTAAAATTGAGTGGAACTTGGAAATTTGTTGGATCCTGTTACTTAACCAGTATTAGGGATGGGATAAGAATTGATGTTTTTACTTTATAAACGTAGTTTCATAAAGTAAGTTAACAGAAACAGTTAATAAGTCACATATCCTATCAAAGCTTCTAAAATTGAGTGGAACTTGGAAATTTGTTGGATTCTGTTACTTAACCAATATTAGGGATAAGAACTGATATTTTTACTTTATGAACCTACCAAGAAAACAGTAAGAGGCTCGGCGCCTATAGCTCAACCGGCTAACGCGCCAGCCACGCACACCTAAGGTGGCAGGTTCGAATCCCCAGGCCAGACCCGCCAAAACAACAATGACGGCTGCAACCAAAAAATAGCTGGGCGTTGGCAGGCCCTGTGGTCCCAGCTACTTGGGAGGCGGAGGCAGGAGACTCGCTTGAGCCCAGGAGTTGGAGGTTGCTGTGAGCTGTAATGCCATGGCACTCTACCCAGGGGGACAGCTTGAGGCTCTGTCTCAAAAAAAAGAAAAAAAAAGAAAACAGTAAGTAGCATATCCTGTCATCTTGTAAGTTGTGACTTGCTGATTTCTTTCAGAAGTGCCACATCATTTTGCTGTATCCATGGCTAAATTTCTCAGCATCCTCATCCATAGATTCCTCTACTGCTTTTTTTGTATATAGTTTATAATCATTAAGTACTATAAGTCTGTGTAGTTTCTCTTCCTGTCTCTTTGTAGTTTGAGTCCAGTTGTTAACCTTATCACTTCCTGAAATAACAGGATGACCTCGAGCTTGTATCTTTGATGCTAGTCACAGCCTCTCTAAGGTTCATCTTCCTCAAAACTAGAGGAGAAAATCCAAAGTTGACTTGATATTAAATCTTTCTGTACTTTGCTGTATTTTTTTGTTTGAGACAGAGTCTTCCTCTGTTGCTCCAGTCTACAGTGCCATGATGTCACAGCAGCCTCAAACTCATGGGATCAAGCTATTCTCTTGTAGCTGGGACTACATTACCATGCTAATTTTTCTATTTTTAGTAGAGACGGGGTCTCACTCTTGCTCAGGCTGGTCTCCCATTCCTAAGCTCAAACGATACTCCCTCCTTGGCCTCCCATTGTGCTAGGATTACAGGGCTGTGCTACTGTGCCCAGCTACCTTTCTGCACTTTGGTCTATACCAGTGGTTCTCAACCTGTGGGTGGGACCCCTTTGTAACAATGAAAATACATCACGGCGTTAGGAAGGTTGAGAACCACTGGTCTATAATGACTTTTTACTTTTTTATTTGCTTTTTTTTTTTGGAGACAGGGTCTCAAGCTATTGCCTTGGGTAGAGTGCTGTGGTGTCATAGCGCACAGCGACCTTTAACTCTTGGGCTTAAGTGATCTTCTTGCCTCAGTTTTTCTGTTTTTTTTAGTAGAGACAAGGTCTCGCTCTGGATCAGGTTGGTCTCGAACTAGTGAGCTCAAGCTGCCTCGGCCTCCCAGAGTGCTAGGATTATAGGCTCGAGCTGCTGCACCTGGCCTATACTGACTTAAACCTTTATGCCAATAATTACCAATAGGCTGTTTTAGTGGGATATAGAAGAACCCTCTTTGAACGCCTGCTGTGGTTTTTTTTTCCTCTCTCAGTCCTTAGTTATGGGTTAGAAGTCTAATGTCTTACTTTACTTACTAGATTATTAGCATCTCTTTAAATTTAGAAACCACTTTATCTTCTGTTTCTTACAGAACATGTTTACAAATATGTTGGGTGTAATAAATATCCAATCATAGTCAGTATTCATTATTGAAAAATAAGTTCAATAAATATTCAACCAATAAAAATTCTAGTGTGTAGAATTCAGGCTTTATTAATTTTATCTGTACTTGATAGCTTGTTGTGTTTGGGCAGAGCTTACTTTTATAGCAGTAGATCTTACTAAGAAGCCTGGTCAGAGACAGATATATGAAAACTTGGACTCTTGTAGAAGCAAAATTATGGCTTTTTCCCTATAGACCTCATAGCTATTCCCAAGAATCAAGAGGATGAAGCACACAATGTTCAAGCAATAATTGATTCTCTAGCCTTGGATTACCTGCAGGTCAGCTTGTCTCACATAACAGGTTAGTATATACTTAACCATCAAGTAATTGTGCATTTTAGTAAAATAATTTGTAAGACAGAACCTTAGAACCTTAGACGTTATTTAACCAAATGAATATACTAATGTAATTAGACCAAACTCTATGACTGAGCTATGATAATTAACTAATAGAATTAAGGACCATATATGAGATCTTTTCAGGACAGTTGAATGTTGAGTTTGTGATGGATCTGGGACTGAAATGTAAGTATCCTAACTGGTAATTTAAGGTATATTTTTTGTTGTTGTTTTGTTATTTTCAAACACACTAATGCTGCTTGTTCGTATAAGATAAAAACTTGAAACATCTATCAAGTTTGATTAAACATTAATCAAGACTGGTTGAATAAATTTTGATAGCCCCACACAGTGAATTATTCTGCAGCTGTAAAAGATGATTAAGGATGCTCTTTATGTATAATGTTTCACATTAGAGGAATAGTCTCTAATGTACATTATGTGAGAAAAATGTGGTGCAACTGTAATGAATGTAAAAACAAAAGTGGGGAGAATGTATGCAGTTGATTGCAATTGGAAGGACTTTGGAAGCATATACAGGCAGTCCCCAAGTTACAAATGATCCAACTTTTGTATGACTTGCACTTACAAAGAAAGGCTATTATAGGTAATAGGTAAATGGGCCTATTCCGACTTACATCCAAATTCAACTTAGGAACAAACCTATAGAAACCTGTCTTGTTCATAACCTGGGGACTACCTATATGAGAAACTCGCAATAATGATTGCCTTCAACAAGGAGAACCTCAGGGCTATAGGACAAGGGGACAAGAATTTTCACTGTAAACCTTTTGTACTTTTAAAATTTTGAAGCAGGTAGTGCCTGTGGCTCAGTGAGTAGGGCACCGGCCACATATACCAAGGTTAGCGGGTTCAGACCCGGTCCCGCCCAAACTGCAACAAAAATAGCAGGAGGCTGAGACAAGAGAATTGCCCAAGCCCAGGAGTTGGTGGTTGCTGTGAGCTGTGACGCCAGGGCACTCTACTAAAGGTGATAAAGTGAGACTCTGTCTCTAAAAAAAAAATAAATAAATAAAATAATTCTGAACTATATTCTCTAATTTTTAAAAAATTATTTAATTGAATTTCCAAAATAAACTACACTGCTATATTCTAAAGCCAAACATACCAAATATGTTATTTATAAGTGTTTATATTTGTAGATAGTGAAAATGAGGATTATTCCAGTGAATTAAAACAACAGAGGGAATCTTGGGGACTTACAATTGTACTTTAGTCACAAAAAGAAGGATTTTTACTGTTGATTTATTCTTGGACAGTAATTGAAAAAAATAAATGTCAACCAGGTTAGGTCCTGATGTGTATATCTTAATTTTGTATTAACAAGAACAAATTTTTGCAAGGAGAAAATTCTAAAGTTTTTGGGTTCAGTTCTAGGTAAATAAATGGATAAATCTGTTCAGAGATAATTCATTTTGAGGGATAATCCCAAAAGTTCCCTGTTGTTTTCAATTTTGAATTGCTTTATCATTTGAGTAGGGCAATTTCTGGTATTTGTGCTTTTTGTTTATCTTTATTTTATTTATTTATTTATTTTGAGACAGAGCCTCAAGCTGTTGCCCTGGGTAGAGTGCTATGGCATCACAGCTCACAGCAACATACAATTCCTGGGCTCAAGTGAGTCTCCTGCCTCTGCCTCCCAAGTGGCTGGGACCACAGGC